GTATGAAAAATCATAACTTATTCGAGTGCAATGAATGTAAATAAAGATAGTGAACATTGCACACTCATGTTTAAGGGAGAACATGACAAATTGTAAAAAATGCAAAAACATTTTAGTAAAGTATGCATAAGTTACTTGCATTAGAACACATAGGGCATAAATGTGGCACAATTTAAATGAAACACTTGTCATTTGTTACAAGCATAACACTAACTTTTTATGTAACGCTTGTAAATGTAGTGACATTTGTAACAATTATGTGTGAAATTTTGATTTCACTTCCAATGTGAAAGTAACCTAAGTAACAATGCTGTAACTACTATGTGGCAACCTTTTGACATCTTTTTAACCCTGTTAATTCCGATTTCTGACCATTTTAAAGTAGAATGTCCTTGAAAAATTTTATGCTGGAAATCATTATAAATGTTACTACTTATACTGTAATAATTGTGATAAAAGTTAATCTTTGACTTTGTATAACATCAGAAATCGTAAGAGCATACAAAGAAATATGTTATTTCTTGTCATAAAGTAATAATTGTTTTTTGTTGTTGTTTTTTTGATGACATAAATCTGCCCTTACGAAATAGATGTTTTTGAAATGTGATTTTGTTATTTAAAATGCGTGAGTTATATTTTGTTTTGGAAATTCGTAGGAGTGTATCATGTTAAATAGAAACACATCCTAACTTTATTTTAATTTTTTTTTTGTAAGGAATAAAGTCATACGTGAATGGGTGTACAGACATGTTCAGTCATCATTGTTCCACTGACTGGCAAGAACATGAGCACTATATCAACATCAAAATGAGGATGAACTGTTACATGTGTTATCCATGTGTTAAACAGGCATGGTGTTTCTTTTGTCATATGATTATAAAATGTAAGCGAATTTGTAATTCTGTATTTAGAATATTAATGTAAACGACTTCTGGTTATTTCCTATACTGAAAGAACTTGTAGCTTTAAACAAATATACCCGTACCCAAGACCTTTCAAAAGCGAGAAAGGGAACAAACTGGGAACAATATATTGAGACGCTTGTACTACGTGGGTATTTAAGGAAATCAATGATATATTTAATAATACATTGTATCTTTATGCTAAGTTAACAAAGATTATATCAATTCCTAATATATCCTTTCTACATAGAAAGGAAAAGTAAATCAATTAAACACATATTTAACACAACAATAAAGCTTCGGTCATACTGGAATGATAAATTGACAAAGAAAAGACGAAATCATTAGATACTTATTGATGTTACGCAGAAGTTCTCTTTCATGTCTGTCTACTATTGGTCCAAGTTATTAACAAGGTTCACAATTTATGCAAATCAACGCAGCTCAGATCTACCTCTGTATAAAGAAACTAATTACAATTGACTGTTATAGGTGTACAATTTCCTCTAGCATTGTTTTGTCTCTCCGTTTGCACAATGTCTAGTGATGGATGCTTAGTGATTGCGAAAACAACGTTACTTGTAATCTAAAATAATGAACGTATTGTCTCCGGCTAAATATTAAGTGCTGATTTAGTAATTATTTTGATCCATTGATACATTGACTGCCTTTGATATATATTATTTCACTCTTGTTATGGAAGATTTTTTTTCTTTTAACCAGTCGTATAATAAATACTTTACTTCTATTTCATTAATCCTCTCCGGTCCAACATAATGATAGTGAAACCGATTTTAATGTATAAACGTGTCTTTTGGTGACAAAGGTTTGATGGCGTAGCATTTGTTTGTAACTTTTAGCAAAGTTTGACATATGAAAAGGATTTTTTCTATCTTATCATTAAATATTATTTCAGCAATTTCAAAAGATTGTCTTTTCGATAACAAAAAGTTTGATTTCCAACGTTAAACGTGAAGTTATTATCACTTACTGTGACAAAAATAAATCGGCATTATGGCCATTTAATTGTAAATGGTTAAAGCAAAGGGAAAATATAACATAACTTTATATTTTGCCATAATAGTGTTCAATCATATATAATAATAATGCAAATGTATTTAATAATCCACGTGATCAATGGATTTTTCTATAAATATCGTTCGGTATGTATTGGTAACGTTCATTTTTTAGAAAAAAGGTGGGGCAATTTTTATAATTTATGTAGTTTTTATAATTATATAACCCTAAACATTTTTTTCAAAATCAATTATTGGTCAATTACAATTATAACAGACAATCTGTTGAAATACATTACTAACTCAACTCAGATTGACAGACTGAGTGTAAAAATGAATGAGCATAATGTCACTTTAGTAATTAAGTTAGCATTTTCTACTTGTTCATGCATTTTGCCATGCAGATTTAGTCGTTTCAATTAGGATGCAGGCCAGTCGTTTCCTAAAGCGAATAAATATTATTAGATATACTAAATGTTACTTTCCTTATATAAGTTTACATTCATTGAATGATTGCAATCAAGTCACATCACGTGACCAAAATGGAATTTCGAAATACTGCTTTGATTTGTCTGTCATCTGACGTTAGCATATAAAAAACCGCTATTGATTGTAAATACATTACCACATGTTTCCTTATAATTTTACAAACATAAATATAAACCCTTCCTTTTTGTCGAATCTTAAACAGACAGATTGACATATGTACTAAGTAAACATGGGATAATTTAGCGCTATTATATTCGAATAGATCACACAAGACTTGACTGATTGATGTGTCTGAAAACATAATCATCTTAAATAATATTGAAGTAAACATGATTTGAAGCAACCTGGGAATGTCAATATGAAATACAAACTAAAGAAAACAATTAGTCTGTTCCTATTTTTGCCTTATTTTAAAAAGGATTGACTAAAGATGGATTACGGATGTTTATAAGACTAATGTTGTTAGCGTTTAGTGATAAAAAACAACGTGTTGTTCTCTGTCTTATTATCGTGATATGTTTATATCAAATATTGATGATAAAGTTTCAACACAAAAACTAAATAAACACATATTTGTGTGCAAGAATTATTGCTATGGGGTTTTCATTAAAAAAACTACTTTTTTGTAACAAACATTAATTCGAGGTTGGTTTATTTGTAACCAATAAGAGTAGTTTGCTTCTGCCCAACAATAATTTGTGAGTAGTGATTTGTAACAAACATTGATTTGAAAGTTGTAAAAGATTTTCTACTTAAGTTCTTGTCAGCTTTGTACATTTTATTACATTTTTGTTAACACAACATCTGACAGATGTCTCCAAGTATCTTCTCTGTTGTTTAATAATTGGTATTTTATTATTTAACATTGGTCAGTTTATGTTTGTAACTTAGTCAAGTCATTTGCAATAACCTTTCATGTGTAGCATCAAACAGTGTACAATATTGAATAAATCATATGTGTGTATGCAGATATCAACTTGTGTGTTCTATCATATTTTGCATTTAACATGGCAAATATAGTTTTTTTTAAAATGTATGTATTGCCCAAAGGACTAACAAAGTTGCATGTAAATTCACATAAAGGCACAAAAATCAGCGCACTCGGTCATAAAGAGAAAGAATAATGAATAAGAGTGTCGTCTGTACAGTATGTTACAAAATAAGCTATTCTGAGTTGTTGTTGGCTTAATTGTATATTTATACATCGTCGGATACCCACGATTGATAAACATGTCACATAACATGCAATCAACCGTGGGTAAAATGAATCGATTTGCGTCGATATACAGCAACAGGTGCGTAAAATATCTACCAATGACATCGCGTTTAACAAAATCTGTATTCTTCAACTGCGGAGGTAAAAAAACAGTAAGAAACAAAATGGCAGCGCCCACAGTTAAAAGCTGTTGTACGTGTCTTGGTAAAATTAACGGCAAAAACTATCGCCAAGTCAGTTCATCTGCAAGCAGATATCAATATAACGATATTTTTGCAAGTATTAACGTTTCACCTACTGGATTTTGTTGTAACTTGTGTGTAAATATTCTTAATAGAATCCGAAAATGCACTGAGGATGAAACGACAATCGGTCGTAAATTAGCGACCGAGAAAAGAGAACTTTTGCAAAAGTTTGAGCAATTGCCAGGTGTTGTTAAAGCACAATCAACGCGACATGTTACTCCAACTGGTATGTATGTGTTTGCGACATCTGACTATCTTTCTTAAAACTTATAGAAACGATATAAAAAGTTCAAAAGTTTCCATATTTTTCTGTAGGAACACAAAATGGACACTTAAATGTATTCATCAATATTGAAAAAAATAGTCTCCCGATTAGCCCCTCATTTAGCTGTTTAGTGACGAAAATAATGTTACAAATAACAAAAAGATGCGAACATCAACACCCCACCCCACCCCTCCAGTTCTGGCTTCCCAAACTTTATAAACCACTTTTTAATATTTTTGTTTTTCATTTGATGTGGCATTTAAGTTAACATCATGTCATACTATATAAATGGGTACACTGAAGACCTTTAACTACCCCCCCCCCCCCTCCCAAACCATACATGTTTTTCAATCCAAACAAATAAAAAAATGTTTTAAATAATAAGGGGTGAATCGTCACTCAACTGTAAACATAGACAAGCTGTTGGGAAATCGTTGTATATTGTTTTTTTTTAATACTTAGAAAAAGTAAAGGGTTAACTCGGCCCTGTACCAAGTTGGGATAGGATCGAGTATGTTTTAGTGCCAAGCTGACCCTGATTCTTTAGAAAGAAAATATTTTTATATGTCTGATAATTCATTAGCTTGCAAAATCACTGGTTCGGGATAAGTAATCATTGTTTCTTTGTAACTGTTCCAAGTACTTATTATAGAAATGAATATATAAGAACTTGTTTTTAGTTTTCTAACTCAGACAAGTAGTTGTCCAGGTAGCTAATGGAAGGTTAGTGGTTCTACCCAGGTACAACATGAACATCTGCTTGTGACTGGAATAATACTGGGTGGTCTTCCTCCATATGAAAGGTGGAAATTGAAATATGACCATAGCTGCTGAATACAATGTTAAACCAAATCCTCCATTGGCAGGATGTTGTATCTCATGCAAATTTATCTAGTATTTAAACATAAATTCACTGGGCAATGTTTTGCATATATATTATGGTTAATTCTATATTTTGTAGCATCAAAACCAGGTTCAACAAAGCGTACAATTTCTTCACCAAGTGGTGTTACACCAAAAAGTAAGAAGTCTTTGTTTCGAACACCACAGAAGATCACAACCCCAAAGAGACCTAGCATTACTCACTGTGGACCAAAAATGGTGGATGCAAGCACAGAAACTGTGACTACATGTACAAGAAAGCCATTTGATGTGAAGGTACAGTCAGTGCAATAAATTTATCATTGTTAAAGTTAAAATCTATTTCAAGTAACAATGCCAATTAAATTGGATAAAATCAGTTTTAAGAAATGTATATTCTGGTAAAATATTTCCATAAAAACTTTAATTAAAAGCCACGAGTTTATTCAAATTTCAGATTTTTAATTCCAGGTTTGCATTTGATCAATTTTAATATATTGATGTCATTTAATCAATCACAAGTAATATCTTAGACAGACTCAAGGCCTTAATACAAATAACAGTTATATGTGTTCATTTGATTTCTGATTTTCATGAGTGGTAGAGCTAGTTTAGTATTGAATTTGTCATAAAATATTACATGGCATTGAAACTTTTTCTTTATTATTTTACTGAATAAAATTCAAATAGTGTTTAACCTGAAACTTAAATATTGTTATAAATATCAGAATTGTTATAAATATTCATAAATTTTTAAATGAATTCTAACAGGTAACTTTGGTGTACAATGAGAAGGAAAGGTCCAAAATAATTACAGACAAAGTAGAGAAATCAGCCATTAAAGCTATTGTCAACAGGAAAGGGCCAGCTGCTGTAGATAAACATCTATTAAAATCAGAACTATATAAATCTGCACTTTTAAAATGTGTATCAACAGAGATTATTAAAGAGACCTCAGCACTCACTAAAAAGCCAGAAACTGATTTTAAAGTGTCTACAACAAATAAACTCATGAACTTTTCTTGGAAAGACCAATTTGACATCATCAAATTAAAAATGCCGACTCTCTCATCTGTTTTGGCAAGTTTTATTACAAAGCAGAAAAGCATGGCCCGCTTTGTGGTGGCAGTTTCTGTTCTGTTATACACTCGAAATCAATTTCTTAACCTCATGCAGTATGTACTTGGCTTAGTACTTGATGGCTGTGGGCTAAATAAAGAGGTAATTCAATTTACATATTCACTTAATTTTACTAGATTTCAATTAAATTTATTTAGATTATTAGGTTGTTGCAACATTATTTTAGTTATATAAATAATAATGATAAGGCTGGAGATAAATTAAAGATCCTGTAACACAATTTTTTCATGGTTTTATTTCATAAATATAAAATATGATGCTCAAATTAAGATTTGTAAATATTGTAAGTTCCAATAAGCATTATTTCTAAAGATATTACCCAAATTAACATTTCATGTAAATAAAAGGAGGTAATTAGAAATTTATTTTATATAAATGCTTAGTAAAATTTTCCAATAAGAAATGAATGCATGTAATTTATTGATTGAATAGAATGTGCACAAACATTTGCAGTAAATATTTTAGAATTTATTCGATGTTTGAAAATTGTTTAATTTGCATAATTAAATACAAATATAGTTTTTGCAAGCCTGGTATACACACAGTATCAATATCAATCACAAAACATACAGGATCTTTAATATATTTAATTATCAGACCCAAATAATAATAATATTATAAGTAATCTGAAGTTTAAATCTATGAACCCTAGAAAGTAAATCTGCAGGGATGTTTTTTGTTATTTTATAGCTGATACTAGTTCATATTCCCAATTGAAAATAGTATGTTATTTTCAAACCACAGGAATTTTATTTCCAAATTTTGAAAGTTACAAAATAATAATATTAATAACAAATTCTAAAATCTTTGAAAATAAGGGCTTCTTCACTTTTATGGTGCTTAAATGTTTGAAGATGCCATCCTAGACAGTGATTCTTTACATCCAATTCCCAATTTTTAACATAACATTGCTGAAATACCTACATTGTATTTCCATGTTCCTAAAATCCATGGAAAAGAACCTGATCTAGTTTCAGCCTTGTGTTCTATCATGTATTAGTTAAATCAAAATGATGCTAAAATATATATATTTTTTCTTTCAGGGTCTAAATATAGTTCATGATCTTGGGTTAGCAGTTTCCTACACCAGCGTAATTAAAAAGAAAAAGGACCTTGTGAAAAAACAAGAACAAAATATTAACAGTGTTGTCCAGGGATTCCAAGATAAATGTGCAGTCAAACAAGCTACAAATACATGTTCAATTCCAGAACAAGTGTCAACACTGAGAGAAAATTGTGAGAATCACCAAAATGAAATTCTAGAGTGTGACAGTCAACCAAAAACCATTGAAATATTAGGAGATAACTTTGACATTACCATTTCACCATCACATATGACTATGGAAAAACAGCGGAAAAGTCTCCACTGGTTCTTAACTATGGTAAAGCAAATTAGAGTGACATATGAACATCTAAACTTGCCAACACCTGTTCCACAGCAGCAGCCCATTCTGGAAATACCTCCCCATACTTGGGTCCCTTCAGTTGACCATATGGAAGCACTGGAACAGAACTTTATTTTCCATATTTCAAAGGTACTTCTCAAGTACTTTGAATTTCTGCAACCAGTGAAGGATGTTTATCCAGCATATATAGACCACCCTTATACAGAAATAACAAAAAAGAAATCAGTGATATTCAACTGTGACCTAATTGACTCAAGTGAAAATTCATCCCAAGGTATGATCAATATTTTGCAAAAGGTGCATGAATTGGCTGTTCCTCATTCAGATGGCAGAGTAGTGCAAAAACTTGTATTTGGAGGAGATGTCCTTACTAATGAAAGGGCTTTCTCGGCACAGCAGGCAATGCAGAATGGTGATACAGAGTTTCACTGTTTGTTTGGAATTGTACACAGACCAGATGGACTTCACAGAGAATTCAACTTCCTATTAGTAATAAGGAGTTAAAATTTGGACTGTTTGTTATTATTAGTTCATGTAAGTTTGGTTTCAGTTATCTTGGTTGCATTAAGTTTTATTTCTTGTTTACATTGAAACAAAACCTGCATTAAAATAATTGTATTTTTTCATAATTATGACTCTGAAATATTGTTTTTTACTTCTTTAAAAAGGGTTAACATGAATTTTATATAAAAGTAAACAAAAAATTAAAAAGCTTTGAGAAATGAAATTAAAAACATTTCTTAGGTTCATGTATAATGGGCCTTTAAGATACAAGGCTTATACTTTCCGAAGTATTTGAAAACATACATGTTTTTGCAGATTATTGTGAAATAAGTTAACTTGTCATTATTGCAGGTTTTGTCATGATGTTCCACACTTGTTTACTTTCACATTTTTCACATATCTTTCACTTATTTTTCACACACAATTTGTTGGTATTAGACTAAGATTGGTACCTACATGATTAAGAAATAGAGGATATGTGTTTGTTTTGCATGTAAGATTGAAATATAATTTCAATGAGTGAACACCAGATGCAATATTTTCACTAGTGGCGTAGCCACTAGTGAAAATATAATAGCTGGTGTTCACGAATGAAATATATTTCAATCTTATATGTAAAACAAATAAATTTTCTTTTTATTTCATGCGTTTTAAGTGATTTTAAGTAATTTTTACTGATTTTGCCGTGTAATGTCACTGACGTCATCACATCATGACGTCACATCAACAAATTTGAAATATAGTTCTGTTAAATTTCTCTAATTTTGATACATTTTAACCTAATGTATGGTGACATCGACTTTCTTTTCCAAAAGAAGCAAAATTTACGCATGGCGGAATTTATTTTTGCCTGTTATTCCATTTAGTTTTGATATTCTTGTATCCGCATTCAGATATAGTTCGGCTACAGTGAAAATTATATATTATAAATTTCACTAGTGGTTTAAAAGAATATAATCATCTGATATATTACAATAAAACACTGGAAAGCATGAAATAACATTAGATAATCTATAATTTATTGGTAATAATAATACTTAATAACATAGTAAGACTATTAATTTAAAATATTCCATATGCACATGTCATCTGGATCTCTAAGGGCAAGGTCACGCATAGCCAGTATTGAGCTCTCGTTGGTTAATATATATCTCATATGATAAGTGTATAATATTGCACATGTATTTTTAAGCTTAAATTTGAATTTGTGAAAGATTCCAAATAACTGTAGCATGAAAAGAACCTATTAATGATAAAAAACAATAACTACATGTGTTGCAGGGAATCTACCAGCTCTTCTACACCAGTGGTAGTGCTCGGGACCCTGGATCATTATATCAGCTCCGTAATCTGATTAACCGCAGAGATGTGACTGGTGCGCAAGATGTTGTGCAGAAGTTCAGGTAAACAATGTTGATAATCAATTATCTAAATATACATCACCTATGCATGTAGTGCTAATTTGAGCTTTTAGAATATATAGATGTCTGGATAGATTAAATGTTTCAATGGTACCCTGGTGAGCAATATAGGGCATTATTGCTGTCTTGTTTTTCAAGCATGGTTATTAAGATAATAATAACACTTTATATGAGATAATTTGACCAATACACTTTTATGTATTTTATACAGATTACAAACAAAATACCATAACAATATTTTATTCTGAAATATGGTAAGCTTTAATCAGACTGTAAAACTTGCTCCTGGAGGTTGTTTCTTGCTGAGATTTAAAAAAAATGGTTCGCCTGAAAAATTTGGTTTTTAAAATTTCGTAGTAATTGAAATCTTCTTTATTTATAAGATAAACCTTAATGTTTTTCAGACCCCATCAAGATTTTCTACAAGATGTTACAGATGCATACATTGTCGCTGCTGGGTTAGATATACTGGACATGGAGGATATGGCATCACCTGTCCCACATCCTCCTATACATTTAATGAACAAAAGCCAAAAAATAGAGTATGTGAATTTGTTGTCAAAACGTATTGTAGAAAGTCTTGAACTAAGTGAAAAGGATAGTATTTCCAAGCTAACGACAGACTTAACAGCTCTTCATTCAGATGACTGCCAACTTGAAGCTATGAAAATTGGTGATCAATACACATGTTGTCTTTGTGGTAAAACATATACATCATTGAATTGGTTTAAACAGCATCTTGTCAAAAAACATCATTGGAATTTCCACAAAGTTAATGAGGATGCTCCAGTTAGTAATGCTGTGAAGCATTTCTTGTTTATGTCCTTGTTATTCAGGGACACTTGTGACTCGTATAAAATGTGTGATGGAGACAGATCAATTCGAAATGCACACTTTGAATGGTTGTATGACTCATCGATTAAACACTCGAAATATAAAATATGGTTGTGGCGGATGGTGTCATATTCAATGTCTCTTCTTGGGGCAAAATAAAGTTTTGAATACAAATGGAATATTTGTGTAAATTTGCATGGTGGGGTATGTAACAACATCCCAAATGACAATGCCGTGGAGATACAAGTTCACAATATAAAGCAGGAACTAAATCGCCAAGGAGCAAACAAATCCTATGAATCTGCTAAACAAGTCTGTATGACCACACAAGTAGTGAGTGACATTAAACAAAACTTAATCAGAACAACCCGAACAGCAAGATCAAAGAGAGAACGACCACCAGTTAACAAAAATGGGGACATAAAGGCAATGGTTGACTACCTGAGACAAAGAGGAAGTGTTAAGGACTTGCGTTGGAATAACTTTTCTACATTCAGAAACCCTTTAGACTGTATACATGCTGGAGACTTGCATGATTGGATAAATACTCAAAAGAAAATAGCAAATTTGTTAATGTAATTCTGTGCCAGGAACATTATGCAGAAATGCATATGTATTAATTTCTTTACAAATGTCAAACATATGATTAATAATGTTTAAAAACAATATATTTAGAGTATGCAAGATGTTAAACAGCTGAAAAAAGTAGTGCTGAATGTACATTATTGTGTCGAAAATGTTAACAAATAGTATTTTGACTTCCATAAAAATTACTTATAAATTCATTATGAATACACCAATTGCCAACCACTGGTGGAAACTTAAACAAGATACCACAAATTTAAAGTTTTTGTGAAATCAAAATTATAGCACTTGTATTAACATAAAATTGTATTGTTTTACTTTCAATCTAGGTCATATTTGTTACATTAGGTTTATTAATTGACATGACCTTAGTAATAGATACATTTTTCATTTTTCAAGGAATCACTAAATGTAATTATTATTTAAAGGTAATTAATATATTGTGCAGGTTAGAAGCTTGAACATGTTTTAATCTAGAAGGTTAAATTTACTATTATTTATGATCACCAGAAACAATACATGTATGTTTTAATTTTTAAATGCATGTTTGACAGGAAAATGTTCATGTCCCTGCAGACAAAGTCAAATATAGAGGTCAAAGAAAATATAAAAATATGAAAATGTGTGGAACCATTTAGTCATCATTTATTGCGATATTTTACCACAAATGTTTTCTTTCATTAAAACTGAATTTCAAGGGCTGAATGCAAGACTATTCTGACTTGGATTTTGAAAAGTTTTCAGGAAATGGAAAACATATGAGCCGTGTCATGACAAAACCAACATAATGGGTTTGCGACCAGCATGGATCCAGAACAGCCTGCACATCCGCGCAGTCTGATCAGGATCCATGCTGTTCGCTATCAGTTTCTCTACTTGTAATAGAGTTGGTAAGCGAACAGCAAGGATCCTGATCAGACTGCGCGGATGCGCAGGTTGGTCTGGATCCATGCTGGTCGCAAACGCACTATGTTGGTTTTGTCGTGACACGGCTCATATTATATTGTGATAAAGAAATTCACTACCAACCTTATCCCCCCAAAAAAAATTAGACATTTGTTGTATACATGTTCATTTATTCAAGAAAAGTCTTAAATATGCATTTCATTGCCTACATGTTAACATAGGCAATTGTTGCACTAGAAACGACACTTTTTCCTGAATATTTATTTTGCAAACCTATTCAATCTCGAGTTAGAATACCTTAATGATATAAAATGTCCTTTTGATTATTAAAATATTGTCTTAAGATAGATTACTTTTGCAATACCTTGAAAGTTAAGAATGTAATTATCTATCAAGTTAGAATATAATTGCAAACCCATTATGTTGGTTTTGTCATGACACGGCTCATATGTTTATTTTCTTATAGTAAATTTGATTTGTCAAATAATTGTTTTTGGTTTGGGGCTGTTCTAAAACCATATTATATAGTATAATTTGTTACTACATGTAGTACATATTTGCAGAATTATTGATAATTTATACCCTACTAAGATATAGTAGGTACTATGACTTATAACCTTGCTGAATTCACCATACAAACACAAAAATAAGGTAATAATTTTCATTCTATGATGTCTTTTGTGTTTAAACTAGTATTTTCAATTAAAATCTGCAGATTCTTAATATTAAATATTAAACCTTATGTTGAGGCAAAAGCTGTTGTTGCAAGTTTTTTTTAATTTGCGTGACACAGGGCACCATGTAAAATAATGTAAATAATGAAATGATTGAGTTGTGATACATGTAATTTAGGTCGATATATGAAATTATAACCTTGAGATGTAGTGTCTCATGCATGAACCAGGCCATGTAACATGTTGATTAGTTGTGGGTATCCAACAATGCTACTTTCTGTGAATTATAAAATTCTTTTACACATATGAAGGGATATATCATTATACTGTAGCACCAATATGTAAAAGTTTGTTTTGCAGTTTGAAAATATGATATTTCTATCTTAAGCATATAATGTCTGAACATGGCTGTCAGGAGAGTAGCATCTATAGTATAATCAATTTCATTTTGAATATATGCATCTTTTAATGAATTAAAGGGAACTGATTTTCCTAATAAACTTATAAAAAGAACTAGTCTTATGTGTTTTCACTTTGCTAAATTTGCTTTTTTATTGCCACTGGGCTATTGTAACATAGTTTAGAACGGTGGCGTTTTCAGCAAAAAGTGAAACATGTGCTTAACATCTGCTTTTCCCAATCACTATCGACAACATCGCAGGTTGAATCGCTTTTCTTTTTACAACATGTTATTTCTTATATTAACTGTCCACTTATACATGTATAATAGAAACGTATTTCTTAAAATTTAAGTAAGAGTTTCATATAACTGTAGCTTGATACTACATTGTGTATTTCATAAATGTGTGTTATCAAATTTTAAAATACCAAATGGTCCAGCATGGACATATTTAAGAAATGATATGTAGTAAAAAGAAAACATTCCTCCTTAAAAATCACCTGCAGTGAAAGTAGGGCTAACTTACACCACTCAAAGTGTGTGTCATAGCTGTATTGATATAACTACAGCTGCACATAACACATTTGCTGCGTTTGAATTGGACTGTTCCATCAGCCAGCTTAATGATTATCTAATTATTGGTCATAATAAACTAGTCCTCATGAACTTTTATTACTAAAATTTACAAATCTTGATTGAAGTTCTTGCAGCCAATTTCTGTTAAACTAATTGTAATCAAATATATAAATACAACCCGAAATAATTAACAACCTCAAATTTATAATTTATTTACCGGTAAACAAACAGGTACATTTAGTTTTATACAAATTAAAAAAGACCAGTGTACATTTGATTATTCACTAGTTAGACATAATGTCATCACTTTCACAATCGGAGTCAGAATTAGACGATTCTGACTCTGGTAAGTCACACATCTCAAAAAAAGGATGAGTATAAGATGAACAATCTTCTCGATCACATGTACACTTCTTATCACAAATATCACAACATAAATGTGCTAATATACTGTCATTAACTGTAGTGTTATATGCTTTTAAAATCACTTTGCGACGACAGGTTTCTTTGTTGATAATATATTCACTCATGTCATTGTCTATACCTCTACACTGCTGTCCATTGAACAATAAAATTGCCATTGCATGACTACGGTCTCTACCACCTCTTCCAAACTGTTGCACAAAACTGTCCATATTTTTGGGCACTCCAAAGATTATCACCTGGCCAATGTCCTTGAAGTTCACACCCATCCCAGCAGCACTAGTTGCAACTAAAACTCTAATTTTGCCATCTTTATTACCCAGATCTTGCTTAATGTCTTCCTTAACATTTTCAACTGTCATTGAGTGATACATCTGTACAAACTGAATGTCACTTTCCAATTCTAAATGTAACATGGTATAAATATCACTACATGATTTAATAGAAGTACAAAATACAAGGTATCTGTCACATTTTTCTTTTTTTTCTAGTAATTCATTGATCATAAATGCAAATATCTTTGTAAGATCTTGGCTAGATTTGAATTTGTGCAAAAATAATTTAATATTGGTTCTGTCTGGGCTTTCAATTTTTTCAAAACAATTTTTCATGCAGAAAATCTTTTGCATCTTCAAACGTGAGGCTTTACTTGCTGTTGCTGTGATAAGCAACAATGGACACTGTACTAATGATCGCACTTCCCCAAGTTTTCCAAACCATTCTCTAAAAGGTGTAGACTGCTGATCACCATCAACTTCTCCCCTGGAAAATGATGAAATTAAATATTTTTGAAATGAAACTTTACAATGACTATGCATATTAGCTTTATTTGTTAAAATTTGAGAAATTCTATTTCCATTCTGACTTGCATTTCTTCTTATATTTATTATATTTGGGTGTATTTGGGTATAAATGGTTATTTCGTGCTGTCCATCCAAAATTGTTTAGTGTTTACAGTATTGACCTACATCTTGTTGAATCATTGAAATGTAACTAAATGTTTTGAAGGCGGAAATACTCTACTGCAAATGAGAGTCAGTCAATCAAAACAGTGTTGATAGTTCAAAAGTTAAAAATATAGACCATTTTCCTCCAAACTATGTACTGGTCGGAGACCATCAACTGGGCACTTTTGGAACATTTTTCCGTACAAATTTCATAATTTTTAATCTAGAGATAAAAAAATTTGACACAATTTATTTCTGAATGTATTGACACTTATATCATATGCTCGACAAGGAGGGTATCAAAATTACCTACATTGTCTACACTACAGTACCATGTGTCCGGACAGATATGTACATGATGTGATTTAATTCAGATAAAAGCTTGGGTGTTTTGATTTTTGATTTGTAACATGCTATTCAATATGTCAGCAACAAATGCTGAAGTTTTGGATATTCTATTATTCACTCTGCAAATGATTATAGCTGGTATATGAGGTCAGGCATTGCTTTCATGACCCCCGAATTTCAAAGTCAACATTCTTGAAATAGACATTAAAATTTTACCATTTACGGAGGTTGAAATAAATTTATTTACTTAATTTTAAAAGAAACATGCACTTATTGTTGATAAAAAGTGACTGACAACCAGTGAACAAAGAAAATATTAAATTAAGCATTTTCGGGGCCGTCCTGGTTTGGTGGTTGTCCGGTTTTGGTGGTCCCCAACCAGTAACCAGGATAAAACTATACATGTAAAAGTATTTCACTACAGTTACTAGAAGGACACTGCCGTGGGTTTGGATTCTATTTATTCTTTGTTTGTATTCAATAATTTACAAAATCAAAACAAATGATTAAAAAGGTAAATACCAGTGGAGAACTATGTGGGCCTCATCTACAACTATTAAGCGAATCCTGGAATTTTGTAACAGCATGTCCCTCCACTTTGCAACACCGAGAAGACTTTCTGGTGAAGTAAACAAAAAGTCATGTATTCCTTCTAAAATTTCATCATCTTCTTTCTTGTCCCGGCCAATGTATGTTGCACAAAATCCTAATGAATTTAGAAAGTCACATTGTTCTTTCATAATGGAAATAAGAGGCGTTACAATCAGCACTTGGCAATGCTCTTTTTCTCGACATTCACAAATATACTGGAAAGCCTCGTAAACAAGGCTTTTGCCACCACCAGTTCTAACAGAAAGGAAAACATCACGCTGTAAAAGTAAATTATCTTTACTTTCTTGCTGGAAATCGTTTAATTTTTCGATGTTGAACTTTTCACAAACTGATTTTAACGTGTCGTCTATGGTCGTCGCCATATTGTCTGTAACACCGAACGTCGTACAGAACGCGCGTTTTGATTGGTTTTAGTCGCCTCATGAAATCGTGAGGCAGCCAATGAAATAGCTGCCTTTGACACACCTCTAATCGACTGAATATCGGCAAAAATTCCCACGGCTGATGAATGATAATGGTTCGGCCGTGGGTATCCGACGATGATATTTATAATACTGTATCAAACTGTCCATACACTGAACACGTTGATTAAAGATAAAATATGTGCACGCAACCGTCTCCTTGTCTATCATTGATTCCAATTTATTGCATCTGAATATAATTATCAATTCCGAGTAGTCATGATGACAATTGAAATAAATTATGTTTTATGATCATTTTGTGTCATACAGAGTTATCAATTTAACAGGACGGTTAACGAAATTGATTTGATATAAATATCACTTCAATGAACATAAAAAGAACCATAAGCAATAAGGCTGCATATATAAATAACTGTATTAACTTACTTAGAAAACTGATATTATAATATAAAAAATGAGATAGATTTTACATAATGTATAACATGTTGTTAATAAAATATATTTATCAATATTGTATTTCAATATGCGTTTCATATCATATTTACATAATACAATTTACAAATTAAATAGATTTTGCTGTTTTGCTTATTTTTCACGATCGGAAACAATTCCAAAACTAGATGTTTCCAAAAGTACGTATATAAATTTACCACCAAGGGCTTGCTGAATTATTTTTACAGTTATACATATCTTTGATTCACCGTCATGCTTACATGGCAGTTTGTGCTTTTCCCGTTTTTGAAAGTGGCATTGAAGTAAAATGTTTTTGTTTGTTCGTGTTGTTTTTTAAAATATCTATTCGAGACAAAACAGAAATTTCTTAACGCTATAATAATGAGTATAATTGAGCCACAACATCACAATATCTAAATAAATGCATAGACTAGTTTTAAGAAAACAAAAAAAAATACTGGAGGGAAAGATTCAAATCCAAAAGAACAATACCATTTTCTTGTAACATGGCTATGCTTCTGATGATAACTGATCGATAATTACGTAAGCCCGAAATATTCTCTAGACAATGCTTCAACAATATCTGAGAGCCAACAGTACAGATAAAGTAATATGTATTGATTATTTCTACTGTGAATGAAAACCGGCTTAGGCACAAATCTAAACTAAGATATAAACATCATATTAAAATCATTTCATTAAATTTAATAAATAATTTTAAATAAAATATTTTAGATGCATAATTATATTTTTGAATGTGATGTTATGACAAATGGCTATTTATTTCTATCAAAATAAACAAAAGTCAGTTGTTGAAATTAAAGTTATATGACTGTTATAATTGATTATCAATTTACAGGGAATGTTCAAGTCGAATTCATCTTCATAGTGAATGAAAAATACCAATTTGAATCAGAAGGATTTTAAAACAAAATAAAACGTATGTTTGAACGTTGAATATTTCACGTGTGTGTCCTATGGTCAAATCAGATAATGATTTTCGTCTTGCATTTTGCTCTTATGTTTTGATATATTACAGTGCTGTCACAGATAATATGTTATCATTTTAGTTTAATCTTGAATATATAGGTCAAAGTGAAAAAAACGAAACATCTCTGTTTGCAAAGGTCTTTCACGGGTAACATCTGATCTTGCAACTAAATGTTTGACAAAGTACGTGATGTCTGTACGAACTTGTCTTGTCTTTAAGAATTGACACTTCTAATAATTAATACATAATAATAGTAGAAAAGTTAGTAGAAAAGTCCATTGCTCTATTCTGTCTCATATTGTTGGGGGAAAAAGGGGTGATCTATCTCATCTTTTGGAAGCAAGCAATGAAAACAACAACAAAAAATACACAACTATTGCAGACTCGTAGTGTTAAAAGAAGCGACATCTCACACGATATATGTCCATCTGAAGTGATATTCAATCTTCGAAATTAAAGGTGCTGCAATATCATATCCCATACCATCTTTAATTCTATTCCAAAATATTATACTCTAACTAAGACAAGATCAATTAAGTATCTTTATCCAGATATTAAAATACACTCAACTGCTTCTCAAAGAGACAAATGGAATTCTGTTGTCGGAAAGAAACTTCTTTAAATTCTTTAAATTATAAGAATAAAGAAAATTGTCTAATGGAAGATAATAGCACTCTTAAGTCTTAAGATATTGGCATAATCGTGGTTATAAATTGCAGCATCTGGGACCCTGGTCTGTACAAAATAAGTGACTGTCAAATATTTGATAATTGTAAAAGCACATACTACAATAAATAACGTTGATTTATGTGGAATACAGGCGTTATTTGTAACAAAATAGTTTAGTTTTTATAATAATATAGGATTGACATATATTTACTCCCGCAGTAATGGCATGCGATTTTGTTTAAACTCAGTTATTTTTATCATTTCTAGACATATTGATCACAATATTCAATAACGTTCTTGTATAACATTAATTTGATCTGCACACTCATGTGATTCTTCCTTATCTAAGGCATCTTTTTTTTTAGTGTTTTTATTGATTTTATTGCTTCCGAGGGACCTGTTCTTTCAAGAATTGTTGTATTCAAAGCAGCAGGTGTAAACTTCTGTATAGCAGCTGTAACACGTGGCTCCGTACATCCTTCAAATCTGCACTTTTTTCCCAAGTAGCGTGTCAATATTGTTTTGCTAGTCAAAACAGAGTCCCGTTCGAAATTGAAATTGTAATTCTGATCCTATTTGAAATTCTGATTAAAATATGATATATTTATCTTAACCCTTTGCATAATGAAAGGTATCTAGGTCTTTCCTTTTAGATAATTAGGACGTATTGTTTAAGAATGTCTCTGCTGAATATCAATCACAACTGGACCACTTACATACAGAATGATACATAAATAGGAAAAACAATACGACAAGTTGCTTCTTTGTGCTTGTTTCGATAACAATAATATGTATTTTTCATCAATCTATACGAATTTAAGAAGTGAAAATGTTCAAATAAGACAGAATGATAGATTGTTATTCTCTTTTTTATTATGAGTTTACGTGAGTATTCTAGGAATTGAGAATATATCCTTTCCACGACCGACCCTCTTTTTCGGACTGACACCCGTAACGTTTTAAAACGTGCACATTTTTCCAAACCCTAAAAGCGGGGTCTGAATTAATGAAGGAAACTCGAAACGTTATAAAACGAGTGTTTTTTCAACAGTCTTAAAAACTGCAACGGAAATCAGCGTAAAAGAAGTAAGTAAAGTCTTTTAAAGCGTAATTTCTGATGAATCTTACACATAAATACGGTTCTTGCGAACGAGGAATATACCGCATTTCAACGATATGGTTGTCCATCGTATAATATTGAAAACACCGTCATTTCACGTTATGGAGATAGCTGTGAAATAAAAATCTCAGATAATTATAAACGCACATTTTGACGAAAATACGTTTTATTATGTTACGGGTCATTATGCGGTATAGGTAAATAGTATGTCCAATGCGTGAAAACCGTAAATGAGAAGTTACCATTAAATGACTGAAACGTAGAATTCCGTAAAAACGATTAATTTAATTAGTGATTTAAAAAGGTGATGTTTTGTGTTATGAGCAGATTTAAAGAGGGATATTTGAAATATTTAATCAATTGGTTCCATAGCATAAGATTATCTAAACGATAAAAGAGAAGCGATGCGTGGATGGTAGAACGCATTTACCACTGCTGTCCATGAAACGTTGTAAAATGAATCTTTTTAGCTTACGTAATTATCGATAAGAAATCATAAGAATCACACTTAATAAAAAAATGGTATTGTTCTTTTGGGATTGATTTTTTCTATAAGTTCTTGTATTCTTAAAAATTGTCTCTTAAATTATCAAGAGGTTGTTACTTAATATGCAAATATATTCTCACAGAGTTTAGTGTAACAGTTATGAAACTTCTGTTCTGTCTGGAAGATATATTTTTAAAAACAACACGAACAGACAAAACCATTTCAAAACTTCAATTTCACTTAATAATATGGGCAAAGCAGGGAATGCGACATTTGTAAGACCTTGAATCAAAAATATTTGCAAATGTAAAAACATGGCAGGCGTTTATGTGTTTATCTGAAACATAATTTAGAAAGGCCTTGTTGGTAAATATACATGTAGTTTTGAAAAACTCGTGAAAAAGGCAAAGACCAACATCTATTTTATTTGTATCTTGCATCATGTAATATTATAATAATTTGAAACGGAGATTGAAATACAATATGGATTAATATATTAAATGAATATTAACAACATGTTATGTTTGCATTCTTATAAAAAAAAGAATTTATTTTTTATTAAAATTACGATATTCAGATTAAAATAAATTTGTTGATTGTCCTGTTACATATTTAAGTGTGTATAACACAAAATGACCATAACACACAGTTCATTTCAATTGATATCATGTATCACGGAATTAATAATTATATCGTGAAATGAATGATAGACAAACAGACATGTGCGTGCAAATAATTTATCTGTAATCAAAGTGTTCAGTGTACAGACAGTGTGATACAGTATTATAAAAATACAATTAAGTCTTTATTCCAGACAACAATAACTCTGAATAGCTTATTTTGTAACCGACAGACGACACTCGTAATCATTAATCTTTCTCTTCATGAACGTGTGCGCTGATTTTGCCATTATTTGTATTTGCATGCGACTTTGTCTGTCCTTTGGGCAATACATACACATTATAAAACTACATTTGCCATGTTAAATGCAAACTATGATAAAAAATAATTTTATCTGCATACAGATAAGATTGATTCAATTGTGTACCCTGTTTGATGCTAGACACGAAAGGTTATTACAAACGACTTGACTAAGTTACAAGCATAAACATACAAAGGTTTAATAATAAAAGAACAACTATTTTACAACAGAGAAGATACTTGGAGGCATCTGTCAGGTGTTGTGTGATCAAAAATGTAATAAACTTGTACAAACCTGATAAGAACTAATTTTCAGTTGAAAGAGAAAAATTGAATTTTGGCACGACATGTAAACATTGAGGACAAAATGTTTTACCACAGTCAAATCAATGTTTGTTACAAATCACAACGCACAAATTATTATTATTATTATAAGTATTACTATTATTATCATTATTATAATAATTTTCATTATTATTA